TCTTCAAGAAAGACGCTAAGGCTTTCTTTTGGGGAAGAATGGTTAAGCAACAATTATGAGTGGATAGATAGATGAGTGTGTAGGGGATTCAAAGGAAAGCAGATGGAAGAGATGTTTCAGAGTAGAAGCAACACAACTCAGAAAAATTGGGAAGAAAGGAGGCTAAGCTGTTGAAATAACTGAGTAGAGGTGAAGAAAGCCTGAGCATCAGCTGAAATTGGAAGTGTGTACAAAAATAAGTTTGCAAAAGAAGAAATCATGTTCTATTTCTTGTAGACAGACTATCCAAGTACTGATGTCTAACCGGGAGTTACAAAGTTAGGCCTGAAATTCAGCTCCAACCTGTACATTGTCATTTAGATGGTCCCCTTTTAGTAAAGCCATGGTATGACTTAGTTGGGTATGAGAAGCGCAACTAAGAACAGAAGGCTTAAGGTTGGTAAATTGAAGGCAGAACAGAAGTCATTGAAAGAATTTAGGAAGAGTTAAAACAATGGCTGCTACTAAGCATGATTTAAATTGTTCATAATGTATTTAAAATGTGGCTTAATAACAGGATACAGTGTTATCCAAGTTGAGGTTTTATATTTGACTTTAAGGATCTGCAGTCGAAATTAATAAGGTCCCCTGTACCCCCAGATAAAAAGTGTAGCCTGAGGGTTGACCAGAAGGGAGGAGAGAGGAAGGAAAAGAAGCAGAGATTAGTGAATGATGGGGAGGGGAAGAGGAAAAGGAGAGTCCAGGAGGTTTTGTTAGAATATGATACAAAGGATTAATGTAATGAAGCGAACATGTATGAGTGACAGAATGAAAACTTACTTTTTAAAGAAGAATCTGTAGTCAGTATTGTTCTAAGAAAGCTTGTTATTTGCCTTACAGTCAGAACTGACCCAAAGCTGACCCTCCAGCAGGTTTTCAGGGGCAGTTTAATCACAGCAGAGGAGGCTACCCATCCTTTTCCAAAGGAGCAGAAGCTGGTGGATTCAAACCCTGTGCCTCCCAGATTATAGCACAACTCCCTTCTAAGAAAACTAGTAATCAGAAACTTGCATTGAGTTGACTGTCTTTACCCTTCAGTAATACGGTTTACTAACTTCCCCCGAGCTTGTACATTTTGGAGGAAGCTAGGATGGTATAACATTGGTGGAGTTGGACTGCTGACTCACAGGTGGTTCACATCCACCAGTGGCTCTGGGGGAGAAGGGTGAGATTTACAGCTACAGAAGTCCACTAGAGTGTCAGCTATGAGATCGTTCTGACTCTGATGACAATGAGAATCAATGTCTTTTAGCCATTGATGAACACTGAGCCTCTTTATATCAAAGAATATAAAAGGGAAGCGGGAGTGTCCTGATTCTGAAATGATCCATATGGGGGCTAGTTTCTGACTGAGTGAACTGCTTTTAAGGACTGAGGAGATGGGCTGGTGTCCTGATTTGAGCATGTGCCACCTTCCACGTGGAAACTTGCTTTGCTGAGAAGTTAAAGTTACCATTTGTCTGGCCCAACACCATAGATAACATGTTGTCTTTGAACTAATGAAGAGTCTGTTTTTAAAAAGGTGCCTTATTGATTACAATTGTCCTTACTTAAACTGATTCCTTTCCCCTCCTTAGTCATTCTTTACCTCCTTCTGCTACTCACATGAGAATGAAAGTGCAGATTTCAGTGCTCAGAGATCTACCCAGGAACTTAAATAAACATGGGGGGAAGAAGGAAAATAAAATCTCACCACAAAATAGTAGTGCAATGAAGAGATAGCTGAGATTGTATTGGGCCTTTGAAGACTTTTGATTGTAGTCATAAAAAAAAAAGGCAAAAAACACTCTGACTGCACCTTCTCCAAGACTTATCCCTTTGTTCTCCTGAATATCCGTGGAATGTTCATTGCTCTTCTCCAACACCACAGCTCAAGGGCATCTAGGCGACAATTATTTAAATATTTTTTTAAGCAATACGTTCCTTAAAGCATGAGTTTTCCTAGTTGTTGTTGTGTACTGTGAAGTTGAGATCAACTCATAGCTGACCCTCCCAGTGGGTTTTCAGAGGCAGTAAATCACACAAAAGCAGATTGCCCACCTTTCTTCTATAGAGCATCAGAGAAAGAAAGGAAGACCCCACAGGATGGACTGCTTTGGTGGTTACCACAGTGATCTTGACCATGACAGAGATCACGAGGATGGTCATCTTAGAGATCCTATGAGTCACTGTCGACTTGATGGCACCTAACAACATCTTTCCCCTTTAGTTATTTTATTTATTCACTGTCTATATTGAACAAATAACCTGAGTACCTGGATTTTATGAAGAGGAATGTGGCATTAGGATTGGGTAGAGTGCAATATGCAGCTTACACAACCGTGCTTGCTAGAAGTGAAGAAGACTTGAAGCACTTCAAGGTCATCCCTCTGAAAATCTGCTGGAGGGTCAACAATGGGTCGTTTCTGACTTGATAGCAAACAAGATGAGCCTGAAAAACCCAGGGGCATCTAAGAACAAGAACTGCTGGTGACACACATTAAGAATATTTGTGAAAATTTGTGTTATTTCTAAAGATTAGATGTTGAAAACTTTCATGAACCAGTTGGCATCCAGTTGACCTGATTCATGGGGACCCTAAGGGTGTCAGAGTGGAACTCCATAGCATTTACAGTGGTTGACTTTTCAGAAGCAGGTCACCAGCCTGCCTTTCAGGGAACCCCCAGCGAGAGGCAAACCTCCAGCCTTTTTCCTCAAAGAAGGAACCCAATTTTAGTGACTATAAGAGGAGCAATAAGAATACACTCTATAAAAACAACCATTCGTTTACATAGATGATATTTGAAAGTCAGTCTAAATTTCCTTTAAATAAATGTATCTGTCTCTACTAGCATGCTCCAAATGGAATCAACTGTTTAATGCAGAATATTTGAGACTCAGTTGAAAAGAGAGAAAAATTTTATTTCAAGCTCTATGGTTTCTTCAAGTCATTTGTGGTCTTTGGGGTGTATTTATTAATTTATATATTTATTCAATAAGCATTTGACAGACTTTCACTGTGGCCCATACCTTAGTTGTCCCTATCAGGGCATCAGAGTGTCATTCAGGACCTTGCAACTCCAAGTTCATTACTGAGTAGTTGTTGTTATGTGCCACTGAGTCATGTGCAACTCAGAGTGACACTATCTATGTACAACAGCTCTGAACCCTACTCTACCCTGAGCCAACCTTATTGTCTTCTACACCCCCACCACCATTACCCCAGTCACTGAATCAATCCATCTCGTCAAAGGCCTTCCTCTCCTGTGCTAGCCCTCCAAATTTCCAAACATCATGTCCCTTACCAAGGACTTGTCCCTCCTTGCAACATGCCCAAATTATGTCAGGTGAAGTTTCAGAATTTTTGCCTCCAAGGAGCAGCCTAGTTTCATCCTCTCCAGAATGAAACTGTTTGTTGCTTAATGAGGAACTTCATAAAAAATGAAAATCATTGGCTACTTCTGAAGGGTTAAAGAAAATCAATCTGAATTAAGCAAGAATATAGCTCAGCCTAGGAGAGAAGATAGAAAAATTGTGAAGCCACCTTCAGTCTTCACCCAAAAAACCCAAAAGCCTAAAGTACCTAAGGTAGCTGTGTCTGAGAAGATAAATAGAAAAACTTAAGAGATTGGTGGAATTGACTAGCATAAGTAATAATATAAGAATTAATCTAGGAATGCTAGTATCAGAACTCATGGTAGATTTGGAAAACCCCATACAAACAATGCAGGGCAGGCTCTGGGGCCCGGACCAGCCCCAATTTCAATTTCAGATGGATCTAGCTAGATGAGTAAGATGACAAGAGAGTGTTGGTAGAAAATTATTTTGTCGTCCCATCCCCCCCAATCACCCACCCCTAAAACCTGTGACTTGGTTACTTTCACAGTATTTTCCTATCACAGTGACATTTGCAGACAGGCAATTACTGGGCAATCTTGGCACCATGTGAATTTTTTTTTTTATTAAACAGGTTAAGATAACTACCTTAATTTTATTTTTCAGTTCCAAAATGTCACTAGAACCATATATCCCTTCACCTCTATTCCATATTTCCCTTCTCCCATTTTTTGTTCCCATTTTTAACTCCCTGTCCAAGTATGAATTCCTGCAGCCCCTTCAGAGGACAGGAACAGAGCTGCTCTTGTAAGCACCACAAAATACTCCCCATTATTTTACATTTGAAAATGCTGGAGCAACGTTCCGTGAAATCTACTGCTCTTACGCAGCACATTTAATCCCTTAATACATTCGGAGCTTCATCCTCCAGTGTTTTTAATTCTAATCCTTGCAGAGATGAACTTCATTGCTTCAATTACAAGAGTGAGTCTCATTAAGGCTAAAAAGCAGTGACCCAGATAGCATAATGGATTAATATGGTGACCTTGCAACTTTAGCGCTCTACTTTCAAATCTGACTGAGCGGGCAAATTATTTCAATAGTCAATTAATCAATTGGTTAATACCCACCTATAAGTGTAATGAAATGGTAGATCATTTTATCCAGTGCTAGCCGATCTAGAATTGAACTGAGAACCATAGCACACTTATTAACTCCCAAGACCTTTCTTAAATAATCAGAATAAAATAAATAGGGTTTAATGAATTGCTGTGAGTGCTGTAATCACTAATAATTGTCTAACTTTGACAGACATTCTCATAAGCATCAATATTTTGAAACTTACACTGTATAAATCTATTAATGGTGCATGTTTACATTCAATCAGTACAGAAAGACTATAAATAAAACAGATAAGAGAGTAATGAAATGTGATGTTAAATTAATTCTCAAGTTCTGTTCATTTGATAATAGCACCTGTGTTGATATATACTGTGTGGCTTATTTTACACCAGAAAAAATAAAATAAAAATAAACGTGTGTAGCTCAGCAGGATATTCTGCAGTGGAGAGAGAGAGAGAGGGAAAAAAAAACTTGTTAGAAAGATATTTATGAAAAATCACTCTGTTCTCGTTTTCGTTTTGTAGATGCAAGATATCCGGAACCCCGAGGGAAGCCAATACAGTGCTCACCCTCAGATGACAGCGATGAGACCTCGAGGCCAGCCTGCCGATGTCAGACAGCAGCCTGGGGTGATGCCACATGGGCAGCTGACCACCATTAACCAGTCTCAGCTTAGTGCCCAGCTTGGCTTGAACATGGGAGGAAGCAACGTGCCCCACAACTCACCTTCTCCACCTGGAAGCAAGTCTGCAACCCCTTCGCCATCCAGCTCAGTGCATGAAGATGAAGGAGATGAGAGCTCGAAGGTAAGGCTGCACAATGTGTCTGCGCAACTGAAGCCAGCAGCCCCCCAGGCATTCTGTGACACACAGCTGGCATGTGAGGCTGCAAGTTCTAACTATATACATCTTAAGGGGAAGCATTGGGGGCATGGGAAATAACACTCTTTTCCCCAAAACATGGGATTGTACTCTGAATGGTTTAAATCATCTACTTAACAAATTACACTTAGAAATCCACAATGCATCCTTAATTCAGGCATGTTAAGCATAAAAATAGTTGGAACGACTAACATGTATAATGAATAATACAGAATGAATCTTTAACACTCATCATTAAAACAGCCATCTCAGAGCAGAAATCTGTTTCAGTGTAAACATGTGGGTTTATTGGTGTTGTTTTAATGTAGTAAATGTGTATACAATAGAATCGTTGTCAGCTCAAGAGTATCTTTCTCCACAATTCGGTGGCATGAACTTCATTCCTCCTGATGTTCAATTATCACTATTGTTTGTGTTCCAAAACTATGTGTTTTCAAGAAAGCAACACCCTGGGAATACAATGTACAATAATCCATCTCTCCTGGTCTTCTTTCTATCCCTGTCTTATACTGTGTATAAAATGTTAAATATGATCGTTAGATGAAACCTTTGAGATCGTCTGGTCTGACTGTTTCATAGGGCTGGGGGCCTAAACCATGGGGAGTTACTCGTCAAGATATCTCAGCTTGCTCAGCTTCTGACCTCACAATGGCACCTTTCTGGCAGTTCAAATCATAGTGGCTCCATAAGTGAATGATAGGCTGTCTCCTCCTAAGCAATTTACAGCCTCAGAAACCCACCAGACTGACTGGTGAGCCCGTCCTGACTTGACACAATAAAAAAGTGAGGTTGTGAACTATTTTATAATGAAAATTAATTAACTGAGGACCAGGGATATGGTGTCAGGATTGTCCCTTCCAGAAGCAAAACTTGGGTGTTTGTGGTGTCCCCTTTCTCAACCCCAAGCCAGTGTGGTTACCTGTTTCACTGTGTCTGTCTGATGGTGCCACTTTTGTAACATTGTTTCAATGAGAAAAGAGGTCTTAAACTGAAATAATGACTACAGAAGGAAGTTCTTAGCTCCTTAAAGTACTAAAGGCATTTTTAAAAAATTGACAAAACTGAGTACACTCCCAACATAATCTTTTATCACTTTACAAGTCAAGTGTCTTCTAAATGTGTCTCAAAGAGAAAAGCTCTGTGCCTATAACTGTAAAAAAACCCACTCGTGATGTTGTAAGTACTTAATATCCACCCACTTGTTTTATTATTCTTTTAAAAAAATTTTATTAATGAAAGGTGCACTCTGAGTGCCCCTTGGAGGTAAAGATGGCAAAGCTTCGTCTCTCATACTTTGGACATCTTGCTTGGGAGGCTAATCCTTGAAAAGGGTTATCATGCTTGGAAAGGTGGAGGGTCAGCGAAAGAGAAGAAGGTCTCTATCAAGATGGATTGGCACAGTGACTGCAGCAGTGAGTGGGCTCAAGAGGTGGGAGGATGGCACAAGGCAAGTCAGGATTCAGATCTGTTGTTCATAGGATCCTACTTGACTCATCGGTGCCTAACAGCAATAACAATGGATGGTCACTAATGGCAGTCTCTTTGCTTTCTTTTCACCTTTGTACATTTTGCTTTGGGCTAATTATACCATCAAATGCTAAGAGAGGCAACACAGTTATATTCTGAGCCATTGGTTGACTTTTCCATAGCGACATTTGTTTTTTAAACGTTCAGATAGATAGTTGACTTGTTGATCCATTCGAGCTTATGGCAAGGATACAGCTATACAACCTCCAGTGATCCCTCCACCCTCAGTTTCTCCACATGAGATGAAAAGGCAGGAAGTGATTGATTGGTATTACAGAAACCATTTATTGGGTTAGTGGAATCCTGGCTTTTCATTTAGATGATAGAATAATTTTCTTAGTAACTATAGAATTGAATTATTATAATTATATAAAATACAATATGTGTGAATGATTGTATAAAACACAATGTAATTGAAAGATTCTTCAAAACACACACAAAGAAACTGGATTATTCTAATGCCAGTTCTCAGATGGACTTAAATGTGAATGCAGAGTTCCCTCCCCTTAGCAAATTACAGAAAGTTTCCTTTTCCATTATTTCCATTACTCTCTGAAATAATGTTTGATGATTTTTAAAATTTGCACCAATTTGGGCATCTTGCTGCAATAGGCTCTAATGTGGCAGGAAATATGAAGATGGCACAGGATAGGACGGGGTTCTGTTGTCCAGAGAATCACTATAGGTTGTACTCGACTCAATGCAACCTAACAACAACAATCCAGGAACCATGATGATTTGTCCTGGATATTTGTAGGAAGCATTAATTGAGCTCAGTAGTTTGAGGCATTCAGTGCAGATCTTAAAATGTATCCTCAGCAGAAAAGGGATGTCTCCTCCAGCAATCATGAGGATAGAGCAGAAGGGCAGTGTTTCTTTCAGGTGTGTGTACATGGGGTCACTAAGTCAGAGCCCATTCAATGGGACCTAACAACAACTGTACCAAGAGTTTGTGGCTAATGGTTTAGATAACGTATTATGCATGGATAATTCTAATTAATTTCCTGAACATAGCTGACGTGTACTATATTGTAAGGGAAACAGTAATGCTCTGCTCAGAGTAAAGATAAATGTGTGCATCTGGATTGTATCTTTATCTGGATTCATTGCTGACATTTCAGGAAATTAAATTAAATTAAATGCAAAATTAGTAGCATCTCTGACAGTAAATTTTATACAGAACTTTTGGTAGTTACAAGAGTTACTTTCCATCCTATTAAACTTATATGGGTGAGTCATAACTCATATGGAATGAACATTTAGAGGTTCAAACATTTGCTATAGCCTCTTGAAGTCTGTATCTTTTTATTTTTCTTGGGCATGAATTTTTATGAGCTCCCAAGCTATTGTGAATTTTTAGCAGTAACTATCTGTATTATTAGGGTTCTCTAATAACTTCATCTTATTTGGATCCACAATTAACACCCTTGGTACTAGAGGTTAGGAAATAAGGAGACGCATTGCACTGAGAAAATCTCTAGATAGGGACTTCTCCAAATTATTGAGGAGCAGTGATGTCAGTTTGAGGACTAAGGTGTATCTGCTTTAGGTCATGGTCATTTTGATCACTGGCTGTGCATCTGAGAGCTGGACAATGAATAAGGGTGGCAGAAGAATAATTGATGTATTTGAGTTGTGGTGCTGGAAAAAATCAATGAACATCGCATGGAGTACCAAAAGAATAAACAAATATGTCTTGGAGTGGGAGCAGCCAAAGTGCTTTTTAGAGGCAAGGATAACATATACCTCACATACTTTGAGCATGTTGCTAAGAGGGGCTATTCCTTGGAGAGGAACATGATGCTTGGAGGGGTAGAGGATCAGTGAAGGAGAGGAAGACTTCTGACCAGATGGATTGACATGGTGACTGCTAAAATGGGCTCTAGTGTGTAAGTGGGTGTGAGGATGGCACAGGATAGAACAGGGTTCAGATCTATTGTTCATAGGATCACTAGGAGTCATACTAATCATGATGATATCTAACAACAGAGAAACAGAATCAGTGGAACTTATTTGTCTGTCTATCTATCTAATCTATCTATCTATCTATCTATCTATCTATCTATCTATCTATCAGCATGTTGATAGGAGAGACTGTTCCTTAGAGAGGGATATCATGTTGGAAAGGTGGAGGGTCAGGGAAAGAGAAGAAAAGCCTCAGTCAAAAGGATTGGCAAGTTGACTGCTGCAATGGGTTTGAGTGTGTCAAAGTGTGAGGATGGCACAGGGTAGGACAAGGTCAGATCTGTTGTTCATGGGGTCGCTATGGGTCATACTCGACTCGATGGAGTATGTAACAACAAACCAGTCATGAAGTGAAAGTCAAAACCAATGCTGGGAAAGCTATTTTGAACAATTGATCTGCTGCACCACAATTGCATATTAGAATGTATATTCTTATAATGGCATATCCCTGAAGCAAAGGTTTGTGAGAGTTTAAGGGTGAATTAATTTCTCAAGAGTGTTCTAGTTAAAATGTCTCTTTGTTCTGTCTGCATAAACATTCCCAAATTCACGTTTAGTTTCTTTTCAATTTACCTCTTCAAATTCTTCCCTTTACCTTGATTAAAAATCTTTTTACTAAAAAAAACTCTTCTTACTCATTTATTCAAGTTATATTTATTAAATACCTAGAAAAAAGCCTCTGAAGAAAACACCCAAATATTCTACATCACAATTAAGGACTAAGCTGGACTTTCCCCCTTTATGTCTGAGTACAACTGCCAGAAGTCCAGACTGGGTTTAGAAGGGGTCGTGGTACTAGGGATATCATAACTAATGTTAGATGGATCTTAGTTGAAAGCAGGGAATACCAGAAGAATGTCTGTCTGTGGTTCACTGATTATGCAAAGGCTGTGTGGATCATAACAAACCTGTGGCTGATTCTGAGAAGAATAGGAATCCCAGAATACTTGATCGTGCTAATGTGAAACCTATGCTTGGACCAGGAGGCAGTCATCAGAATAGAGCAAGGAAACACTGCATGGCTTAAAATTGAGAAGCGTGTACGACAGGGATGTATCCTATCTCCATACCTTTTCAACCTGTATGCAGAACAGATTATGCGGGAGGCTGGGCTCTATGAGGAGAAATGTTGGGTCAGAATTAGTGGAAGATCTATCAACAATCTGCTTTATGCAGATAACACAACCCTGCTTGTTGAAACTGAGGAGGACTGAAGCGCTTTCTGCAGAGGGTCAAGGGCTGCAGCCTTCAATATGGATTGAGGCTCAGTGTCAAGAAGACAAAGAATCTGACCACTGGGCCAATTGGCAGCATCAGAATGGATGGTGAAGAGATTGAGATTGTTCACAGCTTTAGTCTACTTGGTTCCACAGTCAACAACACTCTTGGCACCACTAGCCAGGAAATTAAAAGGCATATTGCCATGGGAAAGT